TTTCAGACATGAGTGAATTTGAAGAAGACTTTAAACTGTATGTCAAACTACAGGGTGCATGGGAAGTATCGATTAAAAACTGCTCCTTTAAGTCGCGCTAATGGTATATATAAAGGAATAGGTGATTGCAACTTGTTTGACTTGTCGTATTTTCTCCATAAATGACGAGCAAGATGGCGGCAAAAAGTTGATTTACCTGTACCCCCCATGCCCAATATCAATAGTACCTTTTTACATTTCGAGAAAACTATTTTATTAACGGCAATTTCTAATTTTTTTTTGGCTTTAAAAGCCAGAAACTCATTTGCCATACATTTTTTATCATTTAAGTTCGAATAAGTATTTGCTTTTATTTCCAGAAATTTTACATCCTCATCATCTATGATTATCGAATTCTTCTTCAAAACATTATTGATCGCTTCCATTAATAATTCTTTATTTATCGAAGAATGCAAAAATTTGCTTATTATTATCTCCTGAAGTTCTAGTGCCTTATTAACTTTTAAATCCAAAATTTGATTGGCAACTTTTTTGAGTTCACTTTCATCTTCCAAAGTTAATTTATTCTCAGGAGCAAAAAAGCTATTAACTGCCTTTATTATAGATGTTATATACATTGAATTCGAAAGATTAACAGCTACCTCCAAAACTTTTTTATCATTTGAAGTCAGCTCTTCTTTTGAATTTAAAAATCTATTAACTACATCTTCTACATAACCCTCTTTGCATTCAGAAGTCATTTCTCTTTTAGTATCAAATAGTTTTATAATCGATACTTCCCATGCACCCTGTAGTTTGACATACAGTTTAAAGTCTTCTTCAAATTCACTCATGTCTGAAAAGAATTTATCTTTTAGTCCATTTAATTCTGACATATCTCCTCTGACTTTTTTCAAGTCACTCTGTTGAGTGGGTCGCACAGATTTATTTAATGCCTGCTTAGACAGAATATCTTTTAGTAGGGTAGTTGGAATTGATGAATCAGAAGCTTGTATGCATTTTGGTAATTTCAAATGTTCTAAGATCCATTCATTAAGCTTCGGATGACTTCCCCATTGATCTTTGTTTTGACAAATATTATTTAAAAAGTCTATAGCACCTTTGCGAATGTCAGTATCCAATTCAGAATCTGTTGCCACAAGCCCCACAAAAATTCGTTGTTTTGACGACACGGAATTTTGTAAATAGACTGCTCTAAACTTGCAAATTTATGACTTTGGATAAAGAAATCAGTAAATCGTAATGCCCAATACCATTTGCGATGTATCTCCAGGCTGAAGTCCTGTTTTATATTGTCAACTCCCTCTTTTACTGATTTAATCTCTTTTATCAAATCTACTGTTATATTTATAATGCTTTCAAGCCCTTCACTAAGGTCTTTGAAGGCATCTGGTAGCTTTCCCGGGTCTATATTTTTAACAGCACCTGCAAATTTTATTATCCCTTGAACGGCTTGTAGGAATTCCTTCCATGGACTTTTATTATTTGGTATGCAAATTAAAGCTTGACAGGCATACTTTGCATGATAACTTAGTTCTTGATTACTATCGCTATTTAAACTTTTAAGATTATTATATAAGGGTTTGTATAATTCTTCATATTCAAGATCTTGTACTTTACAATCAGCCATCGCATCAAATAGCTGCCCCAATGTTCTCGTCATTTCAATCAGTTTGTTCTTATTCTGAACATGAGGATCAAACTTTTTGTTTAAAACTTTTAAAATGCCAACCAAATCATCTGGCTCTCGGTGTATTGGGTTTGCCTGACGGATAATATGAGATAAACCTTCCAATAAATACGGACGGAAAGTAGTTGAGTCTTTAATTTTATTGACAAAAGTTTCCATTAAATCTCTATAAAGTTCTTTCTTTGAATCTGGCAAATGTGATAACACCATTACGCCATTACTTCTTGCACCAATTTTGGATCTATAATTTTGATTTCAGCAAATCTATTAATAATATTTCGTGTTAACGTGCATGATTCCTCCATTTGCTCGTATGATACATCTTCTCGGTGTAGCTCACAAACCAATTGTCGAGTATCATTGGGCTCATGATCTTCATCCGGAGGTAGATTTTTTTTTTTTGAAACATGATTTTTCTTAAAAAATTTATTTTCGATAATTTCAGATAAAGGTAGTTTTTTTTTGACCTCTTCATATTCTTTGCGTGCCTGTGTTAGGGTTTCCTTGATCTCACCAAGAGTAGGATGTTTTTCATGAGCTATTTCAAGGTTATTAATAGCTTCAACGTACACCAAAGCAGAAGTTGCAAGGTCTTTTTGGTTACGCGCTTCACTTAAACGTTCATTCCCTTTTCCATAATTCGTTATCTTGCCAATACCTGGAATTTTTGCAAGTGCGTTATATGCCATATTCTTCATATCATACTCATAAAGACATTGATTTAATCTCTTCAGAGAAGATGCAACTACGAATTCTATGGGACAATCAA